GCAGAATCGCGTGAGTTGGGCTGCAAAGGGTTTGGTTGCTGTAGAGGGGTTGGACTCCATTCTAGTCGTGGGTCTAAGTTGATCGATCGTGCTTGTCTTCTTCACCCGTTTAACCAGAAAGACTCCGGAAACTTTTCTTTCTCCTCAATAACGCCATTCTAGCATCTGTTTTTCCTTCGTTTTCTTTCATTTCCGAGACATCTCCCCTCCCTCTTCCCTTTCCTCGTGTTTGTTCGACTCGTAAGGGTTGAAAACTCCTAGATCTGAGGAGATCCAAAAACCTGAGACTTAATCCTCCTCCTCTGAGGGTGTACGACGTGTATGGGGTACCTAAAATTGTCTCTTTTTTTCTGTGCATATAAGTCTCTGTGATTCCTTTCGTGGCAAAAAATGGAGATTTTGACATCGGTTTCGTATGGTTTTTACCTCGTCAGAGTTCGTCGATTTTCTCTCTTTCTCTCCTCTTTCTCTCTCTTATTTCTCTCTCTTGTTTCTCTCTTTTGCAGGTGATGACGTTCCTTTGAGGGTGGCTGACTTCTGATGCTCGTGGTGATCCAAAGGTTAGGCTAGGTCGTGGGTCGTGTGAGAATGAAAACTCTAGCGTTCGCTGAAGTTTTCATGCTGTAGACCACGAAAAATGCCTTTGTAATTTTTTTTTATGTGATTCGTTACATTATCTGCCCCTAAAAAGAACTTTCGTCCTCAAAAGTCTCGAACGCCTGGATTAATTCGAGGTATTTTTCCTTTATTCCCTCTCCTCATTCCCACATAGCTTCTTAGTTTGATGATTCTACCATAATACTTGGAAACCTATGTCCCTATTACGTAAGGCTTTCATTTCCCGAGCTAGTAACTTATTCAGTTTCTCTGGGTAACTTAAGTCTTCCTCGATCTCGAGGGGCCAATAGCTATTACGTTCATAGGGTCTATAACGTACTTTACCAACATGGACACATGAAATACGTCGTGTACGCTCGAGAGTGAAGGTGGTAAGACTAACTTATATGATATTGAGCCTATTTGTTCTAGGATTTTGAAGGGTCTGATGAAGCGGGGGCTTAGCTTGCCCTTATGTTTGAATCTTAGGATGCCTTTCATGGGAGCCACTTTTAGAAATACCAAGTCCCCCTCTTCGAACTGCAAGATCCTGCGCCTAACGTCGGCGAAGCTCTTTTGTCTACTTTGCGTGGTGCCCATCCTTGCTCTAATTTTTTGGATTGCCTCGTTTGTAACGCGAACTAACTCGAGTCCTATTAGTTCTCGTTCACCTACTTCGTCCCAGCACAACAGAGACCTACACCGTTTTCCATACAATGCTTTGAACGGTGTCATCCCAATTGTGGCTTGGAAACACTTGTTGTACGAGAATTTCATTAAATGCAGTTTGGTGTCCCAACTTCCCATGAAATTTATAAAACACGCTCGAAGCATGTCCTCTAGGATTTGGTTAAGCGGTTTCGTTTGACCATCAGTCTGCGGATGAAAGGCAGTACTAAAGTCGAGTCTGGTACCCAATGCCTTTTGGAGTCCACGCCAAAAGCCCAACATAAAACGTGGGTCCCAATCTGACACTATTGATACTGGGACTCCATGCAACCTCATGATTTCCTTCATATACAGTTGAGCGCAATTGTCTACTGTATATGTTGCCTTACCCGGTAGGAAGTGTGCCGACTTTGTTAGTCGGTTGAAAATTACTCAAATTAATGTGTAACCCTTTAATGTTCTGAGTAAGCCTACTATGAAATCCATAGCAATATTCTCCCACTTCCACTCTATTATACTTAAAGGTTGTAGCAGTCCGACCATTTTCTGCCTAGGTGCTTTTACTTGTTGGCACACCAGACATTTACTCACATACTCCACGATATCCTTTTTCATATTTCACCACCTGAAGTGTTGTTTCAAATCTTGGTAAATCTTCATACCACTTGGGTGTATCAAGAAGGGTGAGTTGTGTGCCTCAGTTAGGATTTTGTTCTTTATTTCACCCACAGTTGGGACACATAAATGTCCTTGAAATAACAGTCCATCATCTGATGACTTTGAAAAGCTGTTCACTGGGCCTGCTATTGATTGCTCTAGAATTTGATTTAGGCTAGGATCCTCTCGTTGTGAGTCTATAATCCTCTGTCTGAGTGTGGGTCGCACTGTAAGTCGGGCTATTTGAGCTATCACCTCCTCAGTTACTACCGCAATATTAGCTTATTTGAAATTCGCTCGCGCTCGTGGCTCTCTTGTGATGAGGGCTGACGAGTGCACCGGTTTTCAACTTAGTGCGTCTGCGACTATGTTTGCTTTTCCAGGGTAGTATTGGATGTCATATCGTAATCTTTCACTAATTCTAACCACCTTCGTTTTCATGTTCAGTTATTTGTGGGTGGAGAAGTATTTTAGGCTTTTATGGTTTGTGTTAATTTGGATCTTTTCGCCATACAGGTAATGTCGCAAAATTTTTAATGTGAACACTGTTGTTTTGATTGAGGAGGAAATGCTGACAGAGAAAAAAGCAGAAAAATCTTGGAAGAAGAAAATAACTGAAAAACAGAGAGAGAGAGTATGCTGAACACCACCGATATCTATTTGTCATTAGATTGACATATTTAAATAACAAAATATACTCAAAGTAACAGAAAAGAAAATGGCAACTGAATTGCAGCAATTATTAAATAAAAGCTATGGTCTTAAACGTAGTTAAGCTGTTTTGACCCCGTAAAATTCAAAATTTTGAATTCACGCTCATGAAAGAGCGTAAATTTGGCCGGCCATTTTTTTTGCTAACTTTGGGCTAAGTTTTCGCCCACTTTTTCTATTTTTGTGATTAGGTGTGTTATTTAAAGAATTCAACTCAATCAGAAATAAAACATGGAGTCTTCAGCAAATTTCTCCTTCTCTCCTTTTACTTTCCGCTATTTTTTTCCTTCGAAGAAAGTATCCTGCCAGTTTTTTCGTCGATGTTTTCCTCCGAATTGCCAGAGCACGGTTGAAGCCATCGATGATATATCATTTCGGAAGAACCAATGTTATCAACAGTCAAGTTGAATAGCTCAAGTGGTTAGAGCGTCGACCTAACAAAACACAGGTCTCAAGTTCGAGTAGAAGAAAATGCAAAGCGCAAAAACACACATATCGCGTGGGTTCTATCTCGCGCTCACTTACTCCTCCACGTTGTCGTTGAGCGAGTGAAATCAGGATAAGGGAGACGACGACCGCCACCGTTCAGTACTCGATGCTGACAAGGTCCAACTACAATGGAGGGCTTGTTTGATGCGCGTCAACCTACAGGCAGGCGTATGGCACCGCTGTCTCGGGCCAGAGGAAGGAGAGACGATCGAGGTATTAATGCTAGGAGCATCGACTGGTGTTCGTCGCCATATTTACGATCTGTGCCCCGAGATGCTGCAAGAGGGGATGACGCGAGCAGTACGAGCGATGGATTCTCAACACCAGGGGCCCCAACCCATATGATCGGGGCTCGACTCATGGATTCGTGGGACGGTAAAATGCGGCGACGGCTCCGTCGTCGAGATCGAATGGCGGGCACAATTCTGTTCCTTAGTAAGGAGGGGGGACGAGCAGCTCGAGCACCGACATGGATTTCTGGACACAGGGGCCGACTCAGGGATTGAAGGGCACTGCAAACTGACCGAGGTCTACTTCATCCCGAGTGCAACCTTGTGAGCCTGGGTCAGCTCGATGAGGCAGGCTGCTTTATTTTCATCGAGCAAGGGCTACTCAAGACGACGGCTGCTCATGCAGGTTCGGCGCACGACAAACTGTCTTTACATCCTGGAGTTAGAGATAGAGCAACCCGTTAGCCTCTCGGCCAAGACCGAAGAGGTATCTTGGAGGTGGCTCGCAAGGTACCGGGCACTTAAACGGAGGAGATGGTGCACAGTTTGCCGACAATCAAAGACGTGAACAAGCTGTGCGCCGATGAGCCGTTGGAGCTTGTACACGGCGATATCTGCGGGCCCATCAAGCTGGCGACCCCAGGCGGTAAGAGTCTCTTCCTCCTATTAGTCGATGACAAAAGCCGCTTCATGTGGCTAACCTTGCTGCAAGTGAAAAGTGAGGCGGTTGAGCGCATTAGAGTGCGAGCGGAGGCCGAATGTGATAAGAATATGCGAATGCTGCGCACAGACTGAGGCGGAGAATTCACCTCGGCAAGTTTCGAGCCAGCTGTACATCATCTCCGCATGTTCGAATGCGTCGCATACATGAAGGTAACGCATCAAGCTCGATCCTAGGGGGCTAAAGGTCGTCTTCATCGGCTATGAACCCGGGAGAAAGGCGTACAGACTCTATGATTCTGTAGGGGGCGAGCTCACGTATCTCGCGACGTCATCTTCGACGAAAGCATCTTCTGGCAGTGGAAAGATGTGATCGAGGCAGACCACAACCCAAATCAATTCACGGTGGAGTACCTCGTCACCAAGCCGGAAGAAGGAGGAGCCCAGCATCAGGAACCGTCACTGCCGCCAGCAGATGCACCCCCTGAACTAGTGGAGTTTGCAACACCACGGACTGCGGATTCGACGCTGGATGCCGATCACGATGATGATCTGGTGGCCAAGTATCGGAGGATGGACGACCAAGTGGGAGGAGGTTAACCACCTAGATTGGCAGCGCACAGGCTCGAAGAAGTGGCCGAACTGCATGCCACCAGTGCAGATGAACCGAGCACCTTCACCGAAGCAGAAAAGAACCCGTGTTGGCTGAAGGCAATGCAGGAGGAGATGACATCCATCACCAAGAACCGGACGTGGAGTCTAGAGGATATGCTGCCGGGACACCGAGCCATAGGGCTCAAATGGGTCTTCAAACTAAAGCGAAACGAAAATAGAGAAGTTGTGAAGCACAAGACCCGTCTGGTGGCGAAGGGCTACGTCCAGAAGCAAGGAGTGGACTTCGAAGAGGTATTTGCACCGGTGGCAAGGTTAGAATCTGTTCACCTTTTGCTGGCAATTGCGGCACATTGCTCTTGGGAGGTTCACCATATGGACGTGAAGTCCGCTTTCCTTAACGGAGAGCTGAAGGAGACCGTCTACGTCCGACAACCACTTGGCTTCCTAGACAACGACAACCCTGGTAAGGTACTGCGCCTACAATAGGCACTCTACGGACTTCGACAAGCACCACGAGCCTGGAACGCGAAGCTCAACAGTACCCTACTCTCACTGAAGTTCAAGCGCTGTGCCTCTAAGCATGGCATATACACGCACGACCACGGTGATAGTGACATGGATACTGCTGGGCTAGCAGACAGTAACCTTACAAGGACGTCAATGGAGGCCCGGCTCCAACTAAGGAAGGCCGACACTACGACGACAATCGACTCCACCAATTACCGCAGCATTGTCGGAAGTCTGCGCTATTTGGTAAACACTCATCTTGATCTTGCTTATTTTGTTGGATATGTGAGCAGGTTTATGGAAGAACCTAGGGAGGAGCATCTAGTGGTTGTCAAGCACATCCTGGGCTATGTAGTCGGAACCAGAGGCTGGGGTGTTAGATACTGCGCAGGGAGAGAAACTCAAGTTGGTCGGCTACAGTGATAGTGACATGGCCGGTGACGTTGATGATCGTAAGAGCACCAGCGGAATGATCTACTTTCTCTCAGGCGGCGCGATCTGTTGGTAATCAACAAAACAGAAGGTAGTTGTTTTGTCTTCCTGCGAAGCAGAATACATCGCCGCTTCTAATGGAAGAACTCATCAGGAGAGAAAGCGATCCACCAATGCTATACGTGGACAACAAAGCTACGATCTCCCTGATCAAAAATCCAGTTTTGCACGACTGGAGCAAGCACATAGAAATCAGATTCCACTACATTCGAGAATGTGCAGATCGAGGGCTCGTCAAGATTGATTTCATCCAAATAGAGGAACAACTTGGAGACATTTTCACCAAGTCCTTGGCGCGGGTAAAATTTGAAGAACTATGCTCTAAGATCAGAGTTCAAATAATAAGGTAGATATAACACAACTTTTAGGAGGAGATTATTAAACAAAAGCTATGGTTCTTAAATGTAGTTAAGCTGTTTTGACCTTGTAAAATTTTGAATTCACGCTCATGGAAGAGCGTAAATTTGGCTGGCCTTTTTCTATTTTTGTAATTAGGTTTGTTATTTAAAAAATTCAACTGAATCAGAAATAAAACATCGAGTCTTCAGCAAATCTCTCCCTCTCTCCTTTTACTTTTCGCGATTTTTTTCGAAGAAATTTTCCTTTGGCCAGTTTTTTCGTCGACGTTTTCCTCCGAATTGCTAGAGTCAACAGCCATTACAGTGTGATCCCACTAACTTTAATTGTGGTGCTTTTAGCTAGTAACTAAAAAATAGTAACTAAAAATAGCAATGATTTCAACACCCGGATTTATCTAACAAACACTACTGGTGCTAGTTCTAGGTCATACTTAGGATAGTTTTTCTTGTAATCTTTTAATTGGTACGCAACAACCTTGCCATGTTGCATCTATACATAGCCTAGCCTTTTTTTGTATGTGTTGCTATATATCACGTATCTCATAGAGCTTTCTTGGACCGTGAGCACTGGGACGAACACTCATCTTTGTTTTAGATTTTGGAAATTGGCCTCACAGGGATTGTCCCACGAAAAAGATACGCCCTTTTTTGATCAATTGGGTGAGAGGCGAGGCTATCATAGCGAAGTTTTGGACAAACCTTCGGTAGTAACTTGCCAACCCCAAGAAACTACGTACCTCAGTGACCGTAGTTGGGCGTTTCCATTTCTTGACGACTTCTATCTTAGTGGAATCTACTAAAATTACATCTTTAGGCACTACGTATCCTAAGATAGTTAGGGCTTTTCGAAGGTGTTTTTGGTGTTCTTGGTCCGTTTTTTAGTATATTAGGATATGATCAATGAACACGAACACAAACGTGTCTAAGCACTCCTTGTATACTCGATTCATTAATTCCATGAAACCACTGGAGTGTTGGTGAGGCCAAATGACATCACTACAAATTTGTAGTGGCCATATCTGGTTCGAAAGACGGTTTTCAGTATGTTTTTGTCTTTAATCTTAATTTGGTGGTCTCCTGATCAAAGATCTATTTTGGAAAGTACTGTTACTTCTCGAAGTTGGTTGAATAGGTCCTCGATGCGTGGTAATAATTATTTGTTCTTTTTCGTTCTCTTATTTAGTTCTCTATAGTCAATGTATAGATGCATCAAATCATCTTTCTTTTTAACAAACAACCTTAGCGCACCCCAAGGGGATTCACTAGGTCGAATGAAGCCTTTATCTAACAAGTATTATAGTTATAGTTTAAGTTCTTTTAGTTCTGCTGAGGTCATGCAATGTGGGGCTTTAGAAATGGGTCTCGTTCCTGGTTCAAATTCTATTCCGAAGTCTACCGCTCGTGAAGGAGGGACTCCTAGGAGGTCCTCCGGAAAGACATCTGGCAATTCGTTTACTATGGGTCCCGTATCCATTGTTTTCTGTTTTCCTTTTGTGTCTATTGCACAGGTTAGAATCGCCCACCCCCCTTGTTGTAGCAGGCGTCTGGCTTTCATCATCGATATTATTTTTTGGGAAGTCTACCGCTCGTGAAGGAGGGATTGGGAGGTCCTCTAGAAAGACATCTGAAAATTCATTTACTATGGTACCGTATCCATTGTTTTCTCTTTTCCTTTTGTGTCTACTGCGGTTAGAATCACCCACCTCCCTTTTTGTATCAGGCATCTGGCTTTTATCATCCATATTATTTTTTGGTGGTGCCTGTGCAAGTTCCTTTAAATTTAAAGGTAAGTCCGTTTGGAGGTGTGAATACTACTCCTTTCTTATGGCAGTCTATAGTAGCAAAATTTTCAACTAGCAGTCCATTCCTAATATGTAGTCGAAACCCATCATATCTACTACTTTCAGGTCTACTTGGAAGGTTCGTCTAGATATTACTATTTATCCGTATTTTACTCTATTTTCAGTCACTAAATCTACTTCTACTTGAATACTGACTGACAATACATGCAATAAGGGGTTTTGACTCGAAAGGCAAGAAAACAATTGAATAGGTAGAGCCCGAATCAAACATTGTTAATGCAAATTGTCCTAGCATAGAAAACATACATGTCACTATGGTGCCAGACGTTCCCACATCTTTACTGGTCGTTGCAAACGCCCGGGTCGGTGTGCGGGCTTGCGTGGCATGTTCTCGAATAATTGGGCCTCTAGGGGGTCCCCTTGGGTTCCCTGCGTCCCTTCAAGTGTAGAATTGGGCCGTGTAACTTGTATGACTGCACCTATAATATTCCCCGGAGTCTGCCATGTATTTGCCCCAATCTTGTTTCTCACATTTGCGACATAGAGGTTTTTCACGTTCCGGTCCTGGGGTTCGAACTACTAGGGTGGGGCAGGTCGCCTGTCATGATATCGAGGTCTCTGGGGGCGGCGGTTGGAATTCTGTCGGCCTAGGCTCAATGGGACATTTCTTTCCTACGGCGACCGTTGGCTCTGAGTTTTTCTCTTCATGAGTTTCCTCCAAAATTTTGGCCCTCCTCAACGCCTCTCCGTAGGATTTTGGGTTGAATGCTTCCACCATACGGCGAGTCTCCGGGTTCAATCCCAACACAAATTTCTCCGCCTCCTTTTCCTTAGTGTCTACTAGGGACGGTGCAAACCTCTTTAACCTCATAAATTCCTAGTCATACTGATCTACCGTGCGTTCGCCTTGAGTCAGGTAGTTGAATCCTTACTGTTTCTTGATGCGGGTTTCCTTCGGGTAGTACTATTTTAGGAAGGCTTCCTTAAATGTATCCCACATCATGATTTTTCCTCGTAGGTGGATATTCTTTTTATTATCTGCCCACTACACTTCTGCATCCTTTTGTAGCATATATGTCGCACAAACTACTTTGTAGTCCTCCGGACACCTCATTGATTCAAAGGTCGTTTCCATAGTTGCGATCCACACCTGAGCCGCTCTGCGATCCACATCTGAGCACCTTGAAATTTCTTCTTTCTAAGTAATTAAAAGTTCGAAAGTTTCTTAAAATTGGAAAAATGACATTTTTGTCTTTTATACTTACTTTTTCCTTTCTAAAAGTCTTAAAAAGGGTTTTATATCACAGTACGCCGATGATTCAAAATCCATGGGTTTGCGCTCGTCGTTCTCCCTCTAACACTCGCGAAAATTCACATGGAAATGAGAGGGCGATGGAGGGTGTCAGTTTCTTTTTTTCAAACTAAGTGTCTTTACAAGTTGAGACATTTTTAAACCCAATCCAATTGTTGAGCTTAAAATTTTTCAAGAAGAACTAATCCAAAACTAACCATAATTTTATTGGATGGAGTTGGTTTGAGTTATTTATTTAAATTTTTATTTATTTTTACTTATTTTAATATATTTAAAAAAAATTTGTAAACCAACTTCAATATATATTTTAAAAAATTACCTTTGTTAAAAAAAATATTTTAAAGAGTAGTTGAAGAATAAATTAATTAAATAAGTATATAATTATATCCGGCATAAAAGGTATATTTTAAAATTAACAATAAATTCAAATTTATTCCGTTTAATCAATCTAGTTTTAAGAGAACCTATATACAATTTTCATTTATTCGAAGTAAATCCAACCCAAATAAGTTCATAACCCGATCCAAACCGTTGATCGGGTTTTTAGTCATTGAATTTTTCGAGTTAAGCTAGTTTGATTTTAGTGCAAGGGTAAAGAGGGAAAAAAATTATTTATTAATGGGCCTGGCCCAAATAGAGAGAGAAATCCATAGTATTATCCTACGGGGGAATAAGCATCTCCAACAGCTGAGATACTCCAATTCAATTGGAAGAAGAATAAGAACAATTTGGATTCTTTTAATTTGTTCCTTTTTTTTAATTTTATTTTTTGGTCATATTTTGCCTTTAGATTTATACTCAATTTTGGTTATTATTCATTTACATTTTCCTTTTCTTAATCTTTTTTTTTTTTTTAATTTGGGTATATTCTCATTATATTTTCTCCTAAATTTTGATTGTTTTTCTTCTTCCTTTTAAAGGGTTTTTCACATTTTACTTTATTTTATTCTATTCTATGTGTTTGTTCTTTAATTTTGAACCACATTTTTTTTTGTTGTTACCTTTTGCTCCTAAAATATATGAAATCGAATTCAATACTTTTGATTTTTTTAGGTTTCTTTCTTTTAATTACTTTTTGGCACAAGTTTTCGGGTTCAAGATATATACTTTTGATCAAAAGAATAGAGATTCGGGTTCTTACTCGACATGTTGAGCTAAAAAAAATCTTCAAATTATACCTTTGCAAAAGAATAATAATAAAAATAAGTATCTCCAAATAGGGGTGTATATTGAACGGGACAACTCAAACCAACCCAACCCGAATTATAGGGGTTGGATTGGGTTGAGTTGAGTTGGATTATCTTTTCGAGTTAGGTTCGGTTAATTTTTCTGAAACGGAATAAATTCGATTCGGGTTTCGGGTTTATTGGATATAATTTCGAGTTCGTCCGAACCAAACATCTTAATATGCTATATCAAGACAACTTTTTGGGTTGGTTCAAAAAATTCTCTTAACCC